CTCGGTTACCGAGCAGATGATCAGACCACTTTACGTTTTGTTTATGCACGATATAGCACAACCAATCTTTGTGAGAAAATGCAAGCCTCGCACCTTAGGCATCTCAGCACCAGTCCCTGGGGTCATGAAAACTTTCGAACCCGGGTTGGATCCCCCGTTGGGTCGATAGATTCACATTGCTGAATAGACTAGACCAGGTTGTACCAGCCGTCCACTGCTTCCTAGTTTTTCAGTTCACGATTCATTTGCTGTAAACACGATGAAATTAGCTATAAAAAAGTATGATTGAAGAACTGTTAACTTGCGCTTAAGATATTGGTCATCGGTAGTTGGATTTTGACCTGATTGGTCATAGTCATAGTCATGAAGAGCGTACGACTGGCTAAATAGTTCCAAAAAGTATGAAACATGACGACGATTTCAGGTAGGCCAAAATACTACCTGAACCCTTACCCAAGAAGTTGGCATTGAGAAGGAGGAGGAAAGCGTTGTTTTGCTCCACTCATTAGGTTGTGGAATCAGCAAATCTCGTCGTCAGAACTATGAGCACACAACACACACACATTCATTATCTATTTCTGTTTTGCTCTTTCCCAAACAGTTTATGTCAAACAAACCGATTTTTGTGGCCAATCTTGTCCTAATACTGATGCCCCATTATCATGTTTATTCATCGCGGTTAGTTGTATTTGTTGATCTGACCTCATCCCTCGCTCGTTGTGTGATTTGCTTAACTGACGTATTATGCTAAACAATGGCCTCACACATGCGTGTTATTGTTTTGTTGCTAAGCCTTGAATATCAGTATATGTGTGAATTTCACTGAGATTATTCGATCTAGGTGAATTCATATTGTTACCCTATAGTGTATCTTTTTCTAGTCGTGTGAAAATTTGAGCATTTATTTAAAGACGAAACATATGTCCACTAATTTGACGATTAGTTTATCCATTTTCACTATATAGATTCAAATTGATGCCCTATCGACGATCATATGCGGAGAAACTCGATCGGTGAACAGTATTTCCCTCATTAAAATTATTCCTGTGTGAAACGTCTGAGCAGTCGTGGCAAGCAGAACTGATTCATTCTAATTGGCTATTACGAAATTGTCGAACCGAAGCCCTACACGCAATGCGGTGTAATTAAGCTATCACTCAGACAGGAATCATGGTAGAGAACTTCAGACAAAAGTGTTATACATTTCATGGGATAACGCTAAATGCGTATAGAGTAAAATCCAGGCCGCTTATTAGTACGTGGATTTGTAACTTCTGAAATATTACTTCAAAATTCACAAGACCGATTGTAGGCAGACTCATGAATAAAATGTTCGATGAATCTCGATCGAACACTGTTTATTTAAGGCAGCACACTTGAAGTCAAATGAAACGTACTTTCACTAGGTCAGATTGTAAATTCAAGGATTAAGCATGGAAGGTGGCGTTAAATTTATCTTGGCCAGAGCAATACTCATGTTGCATGTGGAGAATAACACATACTGGAAGTGCCAAAACTGCGATTTCAGTCGGATGTGACGGCGAATTTAAGACTGTGAGGTGATTTTAAAATATCAGTGATTGTAATGACGTTTCCCTAATATCCTGCGACAGTTTATACAAGCAGGTTTCATCTCATTGTAAAAGACGAATGTCTGATACCAAGTTCACAAGTTGTTCAAACTCATTCAGACATTGTGAATCAAGGATTCCCAACTTTTAGTGCCGGGAATTATGTCACCAATCCCAAGGAGAGATACTGGTTACATGGACTAATAATGATTATTACTATTACTATTGTGCATTGATGATGCAGTGATTTAAAAATCAATCTTGTTGGTCTTTTTAATTTGTGCTCATTGTTTTAAAAAATGCGCATTATATATATGGGCTCGTTCTGGCAAGCAAGCGCAAGCATTATGCTGAGCTGCGTATGAATTCCACTACGTCTCAAATATAATCTCTCCTCCTAAACCGCATACGCGAATCTTGTGTAGTCCATTTGTTCCCATGGAGCGAGCGATAGCAGCCAAATTACGAGCAGCTGTCAAAGAGGATATCCGAATACCACCTCTGCTGGGTGAAACACGGTGAAATGAGGACAGCGAAATGCGCTAGCTGCCAGCAGATAGTGGACATTCGGTACGGCTGTGAACAAGGTGTGGGTTCTCACTCGGGTTAGCTAGGTAGGCGTTATGTCCATTGTTGCAGTTAAACTATCCGACCTATCAATGAATAAACCCGATCAATTGTTTGAGTGTCAGACCGCACAAGAGGAGAGGGTATGAATCCTATGCTGTTTGAGTGTTGGCATTTCATTACCATAGGTAACTACGTTATAGCTTCGCCTACGGCCAATGCACGCATACACATATATTTAGACCAATTAGGGGGAATGTAATAAATAATGTGGAATGCTTCACTCGATGGTTAGTTACAACCACAGGGGTAAGAATAACACTCATGATAAATCCGGAACTACCTTACCGCGGCCAGCGCGGATAACGTTCTATCATGTGGATAGCTACGTCCGTCATAGTGCGTCGCGAATGCATCTGAACGAGGAGACAAACATTAGAGCGGTCAACATCGGTAGTTCAAATTTATTCTGTTTGGTTATCAGTGGCGAAGTTTTGGAAAAGTAACGTAGGTGCGCGGCACTGAATGTGGCTTTTACTGCCCCATTCAGTCGTCTTCTGATGGTTTCGGTGGCAACTTCTCCCTTAAACAGAAAACCAACAAACACGTCCTTTTACACCCTTTTCAGTGTGTACTTTTGGTACCTGTTCCATCATAGTTTGTTGAATGCAACGGTAGGGTTAACCATCGTTTTTGGGCACGCTGGAAATAAACATGAGTTCATCTTCAAATACTTCTTGAGAGCAGATTCTCTAAGCTCTAAATACCAAACTTTTTATCAGCTTCCTGTTCGGCATATAACTGTGAAAATTCGAGTATTGACCATCCATGTTTTCTTACGGTACACATAACCTTATATATATATATATATATATATATATATATCCATCAAGTCTCCTAATGAGGATTACATTTGGAAATGCTATCCGATCGCCTGCTTCTACCTCCTTTGTACATTTAATGGCCTTATGTGCGAATTTGAACTTCTCTTGCATTTGATTCAGTTCGGGGTTCTAATCAGCTATGCAAAATATTTCGTCTACAAACCAACAATTTTCATGAAAACCATAACTGGTGCCTTTCAATTGACTGTTCTCCGGTATCACTATGAAAATGTCTGACTCCATTGCTAATCCGTCCTTTTGTGGTTAGATCGTCCCGTCGAAAAGAAGCTTAAAGTTGT